ATTGTGATTTTGTGTGTGAGTGTGATTGTGATTGTGATTGTGAATGTGTGTGTGAGTGTGGCTGTGTGTGTGATTGTGATTGTGTGTGTGTGTGTGTGTGTGTGTGTGTGTGTGTGTGTGTGTGTGTGTGTGTGTGTGTGTGCACGATTGTGTATGTGTGTGTGAGGAGGGATGGAGGGGGGCGCGGGGTTCTGCAGGGGTTGCGCCGCACGCTGTGGCGGTGCTATCACTCAACGCGACGGCCGACGGCCGAGGCGCTCTCAGGGAAGCCGACCCCAACCACACTCTGCTGCACGGCATGGTGTGCTGCCACACGCGTGTGTGGACGTCATCCCCGCCCCCTGCAACCTCTTCTGGGCGCCAGCTGCGGACGTGCGCCCTGCAGCTTGCGCGAAGGGCGGCCCCCAGCTGCGCACCTGCGGGCCGTCGTTGCGGGTCGGCTCCCACACCGACCCGTCCCCCGCCGCCATCATCTCCCCCATGCCGCTGGCACGCACAAACGCGCGGAACCGCCGCACGGCCTCCTCCTCAGACCCCGTGGCGCCGCCGCCGCGGCCGCCGCCGCTTGGCCAGCGCACCACTGCGCTTCGCTGCGCGGCGGGCGGGAACGCCGGCGTCGGCGGCACCACAGCAAGCTCTGGCAGCAGTGCGCCGCTGGGGATGCCGCTGCTACCGCCGCCGTCGGCGTCTGCCTGGGCGATGGCGAGGCGGCTGTGGCGGGCCTCGCGGTCCGTCTCAGAGGTGTCCAGGGCTCCGCGGATGCGCTGTGTTTGTGTGGTGGGGGGGAGGAGTGCTTTTGTGTGAGGGTTGGTGAGGGTTGGAAGGGTGTTCGACTGGGTTGAGCCAGGACGTTGACGCCTTGAGAGGGTCGAGTCAGGAATTCCAGGCTATTTAGGAATACGTATGAGTGCTGGCCCTGAAGGATGCACGACAGGCTTGGGACTGTGGGCCTGAGGGCACAGAGCAGGGGCGTGTTGCGTCCGCACCCTTTCTACCAGCCCTCCCCGCATGCCGCCCGGGTGCTCACGCTGCGCACACTCGCCAGCTCCTCCGCGCGGCGCTGCAGCTCCAGCTGGCGCATCACGCGCTCCTCCGCGCTCTGGGCGCTGTACTCTGCCCAGCGCCGCAGCGCGCCAGCCGCCAGCAGCAGCGCTGCGGCGCCGCCGACCACGGTGGCCTCCGTCCGGTGCGCCTTGGGGCGCAGGCGGGGAGCGATCCGCAGCGGTGTGGGTGGGGGTGCGGGCGTGCTCGCCATGCGCTTGTGCGTCGCAGGCGCGCGCAGGCGATGGGCCATGCACCACAACATACACTGTTGCATGCCGTAAGCCCTTGCAGCATCTGCTCAGCCGGTGAGAGTTCGAGGTGCCTCGACCGCGGGGCCGCTCACCGCCACAAACGCGGTCGTCTGCTGCACCGGCTCCATCACCGCGCGCTGCACCTCCCAGTATGTGCTGCGCGCCGCCGCGGACGCACCGGCCGCCTGGGCGGCCGCCGCGCGTGCCGCCTCCTTCACGTGCATGCGCCGCCCGGGCCACGCAGCGACCTCGGCAATCGGCGTCGGCGCCCACCGCTCAGCGCCCTTCTGGCGCCGCCTGGGCTCGCTCGTCGCGGCGCGTGCGTCGCTAACCCCCTCCTGCTGCTGCTGCCTCTTTTGCTGCTGTGAGCCGCCGCCCACTTCCAGGCCCGCCCCCTGCAGCCAGTCCCACTCGCCCTGATGCCTCTTCTCCCCCTGGCCCGCCACAAGGGAGCGCACAAACGGCACCTGGCCGACCAGCGCCCCCAAGAATGCAGACTGGCGCAGCGCCGCGCGCGCCGCGCCGCCGTCCGCCCTGCCTTGCAGCAGTGCGAGCGACAGAAGCGCGGCGCGCCCAGCGCGCGACACCAGCGGCGGCAGGCCGCGGGCGTGGGACAGCCTATGGCGGGGCGTGTGCGGGGGCTGGTTGTTTCCACTGGCTGCAGGCGGTGGCTGGAGGCCGTCGGTGCGCAGCGATTCATGAACAGCGGGGAGGGCGCAGAGCAGCAGGCAGCAGCCGCTGGAGGCCGTGCATGCCCATCGCACGGCCTGGTCACCCACCTCTGGGCCCCAATTCGCATCAGCTCGGGCGCGTTCAGGGCAGCTGCCGCGTCCTGCAGCCCGACGGCGCGCCCCAGCCGCACAACCGCCGCACCCGCCGCAGCGAGCGCCGCAGCGCGTGCCTCGCCGCTCGAGGCCGCCGCGACGGCGCCGTCGCGCGCGTGGGCGAGGCCCTCTGTTGCGGCTGCGGCCAGGGCTGGCAGCTCCGCTGCTGCCTGTGAGGACAGCTCTTTTGCCGCGGCGCACCACCCCGGCCACGCGCCGGCCAGCTGCAGCCACATCGCGCCCACAGCTTGCCACATCAGCGCCGCCGTGGCCGCCGCGTGCACCCGCTGCTCCTGCAGCGCTGCGCCAAGCGCCCCGCCGTTGAACTGCTGAGATTTGCCCCGTGCCCCTGAGGTTACCACGCCCGGTGCGAACGCGGGTGGGCGGCCGGGCAGCGGGGCGCGCGTGCCGGGCATCCACTGCTGGGGCAGCGGCGCGCCGGCAGACGTCACGTGCAGCTTGTAGTGCGGGAAGTAGCCGCCGCTCCCACTGCCGTACGTCGCCACCTGTGGCAGTGCGGTCAACGAGGCGCACGGCTGAGAGTTGGTTGAGCCAGCGGCCCTGCGCAGCGCTGATGAGCACGCATGCCCCCATGCAGCTTGAGGTGCACAGAATTGGGCGTGGGCGTTTGCCGACCGGATGCGACAACATTCCCACAGTTTGGTTGGCGCCGCGCGAACCTTGACTGCGCGGCGCTGGCGGCCCCAGCACAGCCGGGCTGTGCCCGGTTGCTGGACAGCAACGGCATGACACTGGAGTATCGTGGCGACCATTGTGGTGGCTGCACCGGCTTCTGCAGGTGCAGTACCTGCGCGCACAATGGGGACAGCGGCGACAGCTCGTTGTCGACAGGGGGCGGCGCGCCAGCGGCCTGGCTGTACGGGCCTGGCGTGAGCTCCTGGAGTTTCGTATATTTATACCTCCGTTCAGATCCTCACCTGATGTCAGCAGCAGCGGTTGGTCCAGTGTTGGATCGCGGTGCAGAAAGCGACCCTCCCTTGAGACCCCAGTGCGTCAACGTAGTTGGCTTGCTATATTAGTTCGATCAATTCTGCAGTCTGGGGATGGAGAGATGCCAAGCCAGGCTCATTTTGGCGCGAGATCGTTTGCCAGGTCGCTCGCCCCTGCCGTCGCAGAGGCTGAGAGAGTCGCGAAAAATCAGATGGACAACAGCGCTTTGCACTGCATGATGAGCTGGAGGCGCGTTTGTGTTGAGACCAGTCGCAGTGCTGGCTGCAGGACCGTCTGCCAAGGTCTGCTGTGCTGTGCAGCACCGCTCTAGCGCAGCTGCCGTCCATCTGCCACACAAACAGCCCCCGCACTGGCATCGCATGAGTTTTGTTGGTGACTGCATAGACTTTTTGCAGCCTTCCAAGTATGATGAGTTCCATCTCTTGCGATGTGCCCTGCTGAAAATCCCCCGGGCCGTTTTCCAGCACTCCGCATTTGCACAGCTGAGTTCATCAGGCTGAGCTCACAGGACGAGGAGGACTGGATAGCAGGGGAGGAGCTGAACTGCGTGGCTCTATTGAGGGACAATGGGATCATTGCAGTGTTGAAGCAGCTGGTTACAATTGCTACGGTAGCACCATTGCCGGCTGTGGTCGCAGCTGCTGTCCCACCCTGTAAGAGCGTTCCCCTGGGTTTGTTGTCGTTCAGCGCGGCAACGGCGGTGCACCATCTGAATGCCGGCCTCCATGACC